ATAGGATCACCTGGAGGGTCTGCAAGCTCCCTAACCTCCTCCTGCAAAAAGAACTGTAGAGTTAATGGGGGAGAAATGTTAAAACAACTTCACAGGGATCTGGCACCAGAATGGGCTTCAGCCGTTATAGAGTGATATCTCAAAAATGACCAGTAAATTAAAAGAAGTACAGTGGTACCTTGGTTCTTAAACTCAATCTGTTCTGGAAGCCCACTGGACTTCGAAAATGTTTGAAAACCAAGGCGCGGCTTCTGATTGGCTGATTGGCCTCAGGAACAATGCCGACAGCCGAAACGGACGTTCGGCTTCCGAAAAGCGTTTGCAAACCGGAACACTTGCTTCTGGGTTTGTGGTGTTCGGGAGCTGATTTGTTTGTCAGCTAAGCCGTTCAGGAACCAAAGTACCTCTGTGGTAGGAACCGGAGTGACGTCTTCGATCTCAGGATTTAATATCAGAAATGGCTTCGAACTGAGGCTGCTGAATTTGGAGGATAGGACCCACTGTTTAAGCTATAGAGACTGTGGTATACTGGAATCTGAGGAAGGCCAGGACATGTTTGGATTTCTGGCTTTCAAAGTAGCCTGCCCTCATCTAATGATGGTCAGGGTACATCCCTAACCTGAAGACGATTTTTAATTTGGCCAAAAATACTCAGATCTTTTATTCATGCGAGGACTCCTAGGGCCTCTCCTAACAGGCTTTTTATTGTGCATTCATGTCCTCATACTGATATTGGGGTGGTCACCAGTGGTGAAGCTGCATGCTCTGGCACCGGGGGCGGAGAGCAGACGGGGGCGTGGCTGGTGTGCATCCCGGGGGCGTGGCATGCGTCCTGGGGGCGTGGCACACCGCCCGTGGGGGTGCACCACCCGGCGAGGTGGGGAGGTGAGTGGCGCATGTCTGGGGGCGGCGGCCATGATGGTACCCACCTCCCCGATGGTGGCGGGGGCAGTGCGCTCCCTCCGGCCCCCCGTTCCTCCGCCAGTGGTGGTCACAAATGATCCCACTATTAATACTGTTTATAAGGTAAAGGTAAAGGGACCCCTGACCATTAGGTCCAGTCGTGACCGACTCTGGGGTTGCGGTGCTCATCTCGCTTTATTGGCCGAGGGAGCCGGCGTACAGTTTCCGGGTCATGTGGCCAGCATGACTAAGCCGCTTCTGGCGAATCAGAGCAGCGCACGGAAACGCCGTTTACCTTCCCGCCAGAGCGCTACCTATTTATCTACTTGCACTTTGATGTGCTTTTGAACTGCTAGGTTGGCAGGAGCAGGGACCGAACAACGGGAGCTCATCCTGTCACCGGGATTCAAACTGCCGACCTTCTGATCAGCAAGTCCTAGGTTCTGTGGTTTAACCCACAGTGCCACCCACGTCCCAATACTGTTTATATAGGGCTACAATTAGAAACACGCCTGGAAGAGACAGTACAATTGCTTCTCATATAACAATGTTTACGAGGGGGGTGGGGCAGGGAGAGCATGGCATAATTAATTGTGGAAATGAAAGCAAATTGTCTGCTGTGAATTAACAGGAGCTCCTTTACACTCTGTCAGCAGTAACTATCAGACCCTAACACGAAAACATTCAAATAAAATCTGATGTTTCTGTCTCCCTGTAAAATCAAGATGTCTCGTTATGAGCAATGAAACAGCAGCATGTGGACATTCTTGGCTAAATACCACTAGCATTATTATCTATTATTTATATATTTAAAATATTCATTATCTGAAACCAGTGGGCAATTGTCCCAATATCACTTAAGTGTGCACTGCGGATATTTGTGGATGATGAATGGACAAAAATGCAGGAAATATAGGTATGGATGAATCTTGCTTCCCCTCAGAAACAAATGCAGCTCTTCACAGGTAGATGACTCCAGAACTGTGGACTTAAATTGCATGGGAAAGGTAGGGTCTGGGGTGGGTGTTGTTTAATGGACTGCAAATTAAACCCACCGTTCCTCTTGCAGCATTGAAACAAGTCAGCAGAAGAGGAAATCGGGAGGAAATGAAACCTAGGAACAACGTGAACAAGAAGAGTACAGTGGTTAGAATGCTGGACTGAGACATGGGAAGCCAGATTTCTAACCTCCACTTGGCTATGAAGCTCAGTGGGTCACCTTGAGGCCATCAGCAACTCTCAGTCTAATCTACCTCACACAATTGTTAAGAGAACATGGGGGGAGGGGGAAACAACCATGCATACCAACGTGATATTTCTGTGCCATCACAAACATATGAAAAGTGATGGCAACCCAAATGAGTGCGGGAAACAAAGAGAACCAGTGAAGGCGGGGAAGGTCCTGTGTGAGTGTCTGGAGGCGGTTGGAAGATGGATGGCGGCTAATGGATTGAGGCTGAATCCTGACAAGACAGAAGTACTGTTCTTGGGGGACAGGGGGTGGGCGGGTGTGGAGGACTCCCTGGTCCTGAATGGGGTAACTGTGCCCCTGAAGGACCAGGTGCGCAGCCTAGGAGTCATTTTGGACTCACAGCTGTCCATGGAGGGGCAGGTCAGTTCTGTATCCAGGGCAGCTGTCTACCAGCTCCACCTGGTATGCAGGCTGAGATCCTACCTGCCCGCGGACTGTCTCGCCAGAGTGGTGCATGCTCTAGTTACTTCCCGCTTGGACTACTGGAATGCGTTCTACGTGGGGCTACCTTTGAAGGTGACCCGGAAATGGCAACTAATCCAGAATGCGGCAGGTAGACTGGTGACTGGGGGCGGCTGCCGAGACCACATAACACTGGTCTTGAAAGACCTACATTGGCTCCCAGTACGTTTCCGAACACAGTTCAAAGTGCTGGTGTTGACCTTTAAAGCCCTAAATGGCCTTGGCCCAGTATACCTGAAGGAGCGTCTCCACCCCCATCATTCTGCCCAGACGCTGAGGTCCAGCGCCGAGGGCCTTCTGGCGGTTCCCTAATTGCGAGAAGCAAAGCTACAGGGAACCAGGCAGAGGGCCTTCTCAATAGTGGTGCCCGCCCTGTGGAACGCCCTCCCATCAGATGTCAAAGAGATAAACAACTACCTGACATTCAGAAGACATCTGAAGGCAGCCCTGTTCAGGGAAGTTTTTAATGTGCGACATCTTAGTGTATTTTTGGTCTTTGTTGGAAGCTGCCCAAAGGGGCTGGGGAAACCCAGCCAGATGGGCGGGGTATAAATAATAAATTATTATGATTATTATGATTGTTACACTGGACTCAGTGACATTACTCAAGAAACAGCATTTTGAATGTGTTATAAACATGCAACACCAGATGGTGCCAGAGAGCAAAAAAATTATAAGTGATTTCCCATAGCGTTTTTTTAAATTTTGTTATAATGGTTTAATTTCTGACTTATTTATAACGTTTTTTCCCCTGTGTGTAGATCCACCCACTGTGAGACAGAGGAGATGAAAGTGGTAACTATCTTAGAGCAGTAGTGACATAAAGGTTGGAGTGGGTGTTGCTTGTTAACATGTACCCATTCTAAAGAGCCAAAAGGTATAAATTTTCTAGAGGGACAGCCATATTAGTTTCTTGCAGCAAAAGCATTGAGTGGCAATCACATTACTAACAGTAGTGATTCCCCCTAAAAAACAAAACGTAAAACCATGTATGTTGATAACACAAAAATCCTGGCATTGGCAAGCCAATTAATATCTGTAGCATGATATTTTAAAATGCCACAAGTGAAGCTCTAATAGTAGTTGTAAGTCAATGGTTGCAGTCTCACTTTGAAGTTCCTGTGTTCCCGCATTCCCAGTACAGTCATACCTCGAGCTGAATGCGCTTCGGGTTGAGCGCGTTCGAGTTGCGCTCTGCGGCAACCCGGAAGTAACGGAGCTCGCGCATGCGCAGATGCTCAAAATGACGTCACGTGCATGCGCGGTAGCGGCGAAACACGACCCGCGTTTTGCGTTCCGTTCAGGATGCGAACAGGGCTCCGGAACGGATGCCGTTCGCATCCCAAGGTACCACTGTATCCTGGGAAGTTAAAATGTCCCCTCAATGGCTTTTCAACATTTGTGCTTACTTCCACCCCCCACCCCCACTCTCCCTCCACCATTATTAATTAAATATAACTTGAATAACAATAGTGTTCATATAAATGTAAACGAGTTCAAACGGAACATATTTATGAGGAATATGCCGTAATAAAATTCTCTGTTTTCTTTTTCAGGTTCCAAAGAAACGGATTGTTCCATGTATCCTGGAAATTGCCATTCATATAGCGAAATATAAACTGTATGGAACTAATTCTTCTTCTCCACGCAAAAAGGCAAACCCTTAAAAGAGACGTTACTTCTAAGTTCTGGATCTCTCTTGCCTCCTTGCAAGGAGTGGACGGAATTCTGTTGCAACAGAAAAAACAAAGTTCTGCCTTGCTTTCACTGCCTCCTGCCTCCATTCATTCATCTTTGACAGATCATGGACTTTGAGGGCTCGGTCCCTTGGGGAGTTGGACAGCAAAAACCAACCACCCCTATTTTTCTGTATCAGATGGAGCATTTGTCAGATGGGTGAGGTATAAATAATAAAATGATGCTAAGGATGGAACAGGATGTCCCTATTTTCATAGGAGAAATGTGGATTTTTTTGTGGACGGGGGTGCTATTGGGTGGTTGTTTTTATTTTTTATCATATATTTTGTGGTTCTATAGCTTGATTTTATTCTGTGAACCGCCCTGAGACCCCCGGGTATAGGGCGGTATATAAATTCAGAAACTAAACTAAAACAAAATAAAATGTTGGAGGGTATGAACACGGGGCCCGGGGCGTGAGATCAGCAGATAGCACGTAAACTGAGCTGCTCCCCTTGCAATCCATCCCTCCCTCGGCATCGCCCGCCACAAACGCGCAGCCTGCGCTCCTCGCCTCCCGTTTCCCCACGCTGCCCTCGGAAACCTCTTCCCGTTTCCCACCGCCTCTCCCATAGGTGGCGCTGCAGCGCGCGCGCGCTTCGCCGCCCGTTCCTCCTCCCCCCCCCCCGAGGGAAACAACGAGGCAGCAGCGTCCGGAAGTTGAAGCGGCATCCCGGAAGCGCCGCTCTGTCTCCTCCCCGCCCCGTCTCTCTGTGCCTCGGGTCCTTGCCTTTCCGCCTCCCGGTTGCTAAGCAGCGGCGGCGGCGGCGGCTGGTTTGAAAGCGCGCCCGAGGCGCCAAAGGGGAGCTTGCCGGCGGGACCAGAGAGGAGGAGGAGGGCGTTGGGGCCCGGCCTCGTCACTGGCTTGGATGTGGGGACCGGGAGCGGAGAGGGCAGCTTCGCGAGAGCCTTGCGCCCTGCCTGCCAGAGCAGAGAGCCCGCCGGGAGGAGAATGGGCACAACAAGGGCCGACCAGCTCCTGATTGTGGTTTCTATCCTGGAAGGTAAGGCGCAGGGAAGGGGAGGGGGGTGTTAAAAGGAAAGTAAAAAAATCAGAGACCCATTCATCTATGGATGCCTCCACCCCACCCATAATTTAGGGAGCTGCCTTAAAGGGAGTTGGATCGCCCATCCATTGAGGGCAGTGTCGCCTACACTGACCGGCAGCGGCTCCCGAGGGTTTTTAAGGCAAGGGGTCTCTCCCACTTCTGCTAGGAGATTTGGGATTGAACCTGGGGCACGTGGTTCAAGGTGTAAGGTGGCTGCTTTACCCTACTTGTGGGCATAAGGGACGCGGGTGGCGCTGTGGGTTAAACCACAAAGCCTAGGACTTGCCGATCAGGAGGTCGCGGTTCGAATCCCCGCGACGGGGTGAGCTCCCGTTGCTTGGTCCCAGCTCCTGCCAACCTAGCAGTTCAAAAGCACATCAAAGTGCAAATACAGTGGTGCCTCGCAAGACGAAATTAATCCGTTCCGCGAGTCTCTTCGTCTTGCGGTTTTTTCGTCTTGCGAAGCGCGGCTATTAGCGGCTTTAAGAAAAAGGAAACAAACTCGCAAGAACTCGCAAGACGTTTCGTCTTGCGAAGCAAGCCCATAGGGAAATTCGTCTTGCAGAACGACTCAAAAAACAGAAAACCCTTTCGTCGAGCGAGTTTTTCGTCTTGCGAGGCATTCGTCTTGCGGGGCACCACTGTAGATAAATAGGTACCGCTCCGGCGGGAAGGTAAACAGCGTTTCTGTGCGCTGCTCTGGTTCACTAGAAGCGGCTTAGTCATGCTGGCCACATGACCCGGAAGCTGTACGCCGGCTCCCTCGGCCAATAAAGCGAGATGAGTGCCGCAACCCCAGAGTCGGCCACGACTGGACCTAACGGTCAGGGGTCCTTTACCTTTTTACTTGTGGGCATGGGCATAGCCAGTACAGTCATACCTCGGGTTATAAACGCTTCAGGTTGCGTTTTTTCAGGTTACGGACCCGCCGAAACCCGGAAGTACCGGAACAGGTTACTTCCATGATTCGGTGGTCGCGCAGGCGTGCCAAATTGCAACCCGCGTGTGCGCAGACGCAACACTGTGGGTTGCGAACGCTGCAGGTTGTGAACATGCATCCCACATGGATCACGTTCACAACCTGAGTGTCCACTGTATTTGTTTAAGGGGGAAGGGACAGGCTTTTTTATTATTTATTATTTATTGAATTTATGTTTTCTTCTTCTCTGGCAATCACTCGTAGTCAAGTAAGATTGTCTTCCATGAACACGGTCTTAACAGTGAGTCCGTAAGTGGCTGTGGAGCCCAATTCTGGATCCACATGTCCTTCCACAGTGGGGACATAGGTTTCTAGGCAGGAGTTGATCACGGTGAGGGTTTGCCAAGCGTGCCTTCCTCTTAGCATGTTTCTCCCTTTCGTCCTGTGTTTGAGCGTCTTCAAACCCATAACACCTTTGGTAAAGGCTGTTCTCCAGTTGGAGCACTCGCAGGCCAGTGTTTCCCAGTTGTCGGTGTTTATCCTACATTTTTTTAGATTTGCCTTGAGAGAGCCTTTAAACCATTTTTGTTGACCACCAGCATTACGCTTTCCATTTTTAAGTTTGGAATAGAGTAGTTGCTACCGCCCTATATACCCGGAGGTCTCAGGGCCGTTCACAGAACAAAATCAAAATATAAAAGCACAATATTTGGAATCAAACTAAAAACAACCACCAAATAGCACACACACACACCCCGGTAGGAGGGGGCAGAACCGAGTTATCTGTGATGCAATTGGTCAGTTAAGTATTTTTATTTATTTGCTTGAGTTAGGGGTGCAGCTACCCCCCCCCCCCAGCTCCCTGGGTACACCCATGCTTGTAGAGTGGACTTCAATTTTGGGAGAGTTGACCCCCCAACAGTGTGATTCTCTGATCAGAAGTAAGACGTAGCATTGTTAGAGGACCCTGAGGATCATTAGGTCCAAGCCCCTGCAATGCAGGAATATGCAGCTGCTCCATACAGGGATGGAGCCTGCAATCTTGACATGGTGAGCACCACGCTCTAACCAGCTCCTAGGTAGGTCAGTATGTATAGGAATGTAGCCTAAGTCTGCCCAAAAGATCTCTTACCATGTGGCGGTTGGTTGTGTAAATAATGAATGTGGAGGCAGCGGGGTGATTTTATATTTGGAAGTGTCTGATAAGGCATCTTTGTAAGCAGAAAGGTTTTTGCATGATCTTGACACCAGGTGAAAGAGCTCCTGCTTCTTCTTTTGAAAATATAGAGTACCAGAGTTGCATCTTCAACTCATTAAGTAATGGAAACGGGAGAGAGCATGTCTGAGCATTTCTACAACTATAGCTAGCCGTCCCACTTTACCATCATGTCCTTGAGCTAACAACTAAGGCTAATGTGTAACAGAAAAAGAAGTAGAAAATTGGTTTAAAAGTGTGTGGAAGAAAGTAATAGAAGTGAAAGAAATTGTAATTGAGTAGATTGGAAGTCTAACACAAGGGTGGGGTGAGAGGTGAGGAATGGTGGTGGGAAAAGGAATTATCTGTGGGATTGGGTGTGGGTATGTATGAATATTTTTAAGGATTGTATGAAATGTATGTTTGTATATTCATAATATGTATGTATTAATGTTGAATTATTTTAATAATAAAATATTTGTGTTAACAAAACAAAACAAAAACAACTAATGCTTTCAGATCCAAGGTTGTAAATTCTTTGCAGGCTTCAGTTTTTCATTTTGGTGGCAGAGTTCTGGTGTTCACAACATAAATGCTGGCAAAAGGGAGAAATTTGTGAACAGAATAAGGTATAAGGGGAGTAGGATTAATAGATGACACGAAAACAGCATATGTAGTCAGATTCATAATTCTGTGTTGCTGCTTCAGAAATTTAGTACTGAGTTATTACAGTAGACATTGCCTGTCTTCTCAGACTAGTATGGTATTGCACAGGAAAACATTGTTGTAACATTTCTGTGGAAACCAGTACCGTGTCATTCTAAAGATAGGCATGAGATGAGCAGGGTTTGAACTCAGGACACTTGGGGATCTTATATACATATTCTCAAAGAAGCAATATGTAGCTGGTACTTCTTGTTACTTTGTTTGTGATGCATTAGAATTAGGAGTGCTTAGTTGTTTGAAAAAATCCATGAACTCCAGCATATTGTGGTCCTTGCAAGTACTTCTGAATGTATGTATATTTTATTTTCTGCTTATACACCATCTAACTTTCAAAAAGATTAAAATGCTGACTTCAGCATTTTTTTATTAGTTACTTTGTTCATAGTAATTTTAACCTGATCTTAAAATGTACGTTGCATTCTCCTTCAACAATCTAGTTGATTGTGGCTTGTAGCATAGTGCCCAGGAGTTTGTGATTATTAAGCAACTACATCATGCCCTAAATAGTATACTATCAGCTGTTTATGAAGAAGCGATCTAAAAAATGTGCTTTTTTCCTTTTCCAGGGCGTTACTTTCCAAAACGTCCAAAGCATATGCTTGTGGTAGAAGCAAAGTTTGATGGTGAAACTCTAGCCACAGACCCTGTAGAACATATTGATCAACCTGAATTTGCCACAGAGTTAGCTTGGGAACTTGACAGGAAAGCACTTCACCAACACAGGTTATTTTCTCAAAAGATTTCTGAATTGCTTGAGTGTGTGCTTGTTGCATGTATTTAGAATCTTGTAAAGAATGACTATAATAACTTAGCCTGAACTGTACTGGAAAACCTATGGGTGTATTCCATTCCCTTTTCTGTATAGCATTTGGCTAGAAAGCTCAGATAGTTACTAAAAAGAGCAGTGTTAAGCTCTGTTTTCACCTCCAAAAAAAGTAACCAGCTTTCCTATATTTAACTGTTGCCCTATACCTGAAGCCTATTTGAGAGGTTGGAAAATTATATATGTGCTTGTTAACTGCTAAAGTTTCCTTATTGTTGAGAAGAAATACATGCAATATAATATATATTAAAATAATTACTACTGTTTCTGATAATATCTAGGTGGTTTTATCAGTAAAAATGTTGCCTGTACCATTGGGGAACCAAAAGTTTATGTAACTGCTTCCAATGCCTTAATGGTCTTGCATATTTATTTCCTTGCAGATTACAGCGTACACCTATCAAGTTACAATGCTTTTCTGTGGATTCTCTCTCTTCTGCCAAGGAGCCTGTAGGTTACATTATACTAGATTTGAGAGTTGCTCAAGAGAAGAAACAGGTATTGTATCGAATGTGGCTTAAACACATCACAATAAATGAATGTGTGCTCCTTTATCAGATATGCCAGATTAAATGGTATTAATTTTCATTCTCTTATTGAATGGCAGATTCTAGACATATTTGCTCATTGGGGTGGTAAACCTGTGTCTGAGCTGTAACAAATATCAGCTGGCGGGTCGGTGTTGTTCACCTGGTTTCCCAAAACTATGCACCGCTTCTGGTTACATGGAGGGGCAAGGCAGCAGAGAGCTGTTGTGTCCACTCTTGAGTTTTCCACTGTGTTGCCCATCCCTCTTCCTGTTTGGTAATCAGGCTGTTCCCCTCCTGTCTCTGTGGGCAGGCCGGTATTATGGAAGTACAGTGGAACCTTGGTTGTCGAACGCTTCGGAAGTCGAATGTTTCGGCTTTCGGATGCCGACAACCCAGAAGCGAATGCTTCCATTTTCGAATATGCCTCGGAAGTCAAACGGCTTCCAAGGCGTGTTTCTCTATTTTTTTCAATTGAATTCTCTGGCCACCCATTGAGCCTCGGTTGTCGAATGTTTCAGAAGTGGAACGGTCTTCCGGAACGGATTACGTTCGACAACCGAGGTTTCACTGTATTTAAATATAGCCCTATCTTAAAATACCAGGACAATGTATGAAACTATAACAAACATTTTAAACAAATTAGAAACAGCACAGAACAGTCATTAAAATGATAACAAAGCTCAGGTCAATGACCTGCCCATTAAGATGATTATCTGCCATGGTTTGTAGCAGATAAATTTCTTGCTCTTATTTACTAAAGGGATTTAATGGATATGCCTTTGTCCACCATAGCAGGCTAAATGCAAATAATAACCTATGATACATGCTCTAAATAGTTGCTTTGTACTTTTATTTTGGTGGGGGGAATGACTAGCTTTTCTAAACTTTTTTTTTCATGGAGGGAATTAAGAGTTCTATGAACAGATGGCAGCAGAGTCAAGTGCAGAATTATTCTGGATATAGTAAGTTCAGCTGTAGGTGGAGCCCTCCACCCACATATTAGGGTAGCCTAAAGCCAGGGCAGTCATGCTCTCTGCATCTAAACAGATGATCTCTGGCAATCATCTGTCTACTAGGGAAAGAGAGTATTACTTCTGTTCTCAGATCTCTGGATTAGGGCCAAAGTCTTGTCCTCTTTTTTTCCTTTTTTTAAAAATAAATTAAAATTGAGGTGAGAACTGTCTATGTACACATGATATAATTTCACTTCTGTAACAGTATTGTATGATCACAACTATTCTTCATTTTAGGCTTAACTTTAAATGTAAGATCCTGTAAAACGTAGCCAACTTGGAAAGAGATTTTATCTGACGACAATACCATGTATGTATAATTTTGTAAGAGTGCTTTCACCCAACTTTTTGTTTTAATCAAATCTCTGCAGCCGCCAAAATGGTATCCATTACTGAGCAATAGATACACAAAATTTAAATCTGAGCTGCAACTCAGTCTAATGCTAGAAACTGATACTAAGGCATCTGCAGATGGCTTTAAAGCGAAGGACGCACCTCCCAGAGATGTAACAGGTTAGTAGAATAATGAACACTTCACCAAACGCTATTATATTATGTAAATTGTGGGAATTCTGCAGTTCTGTCAAGTTGATGGAGATCCTAAAATATCCTTGGTTAGTATTGGCAAATTCACTGTACAAATCCTCTGTATTCTGCTTTGTTTCCTCTTTTGTTCTGATGACAAATCCTTGGGCTGAGCATCTGCTCAGCATTATTCTCTTACTTAATTCTATATTTATACCTACCCTCATGGTGCTACTTTGCACCTGGCTCCAGATGGTGGGTTTTGGAGTTCCGTTGGGCGGAAAAACTTGATCTTGCAACCTGAAGTCTGAGAGATTTGATAGTTGATTTCTGACAGTTGAAGTGATTTCATCTTTGCTCATTTTGACAAAGTTTCAGGGCTAAGAACATTTGAATATTCACGTTAAAAATCTTAATGGCCCGTCCTGTATCAGAGTGGTTTACCAGGGTTCTGTTCCATTCTTTTATGGCAAAGGTGGACAATCTGTCAATGTCAAGATGCTGTAGGACTACACTTCCCATCATCCCTGATGATTGGCTGTGTTGGCTGGAGCTGATGGGAGCTGGAGTCCCAGCAACATCAAGGGGGCTACAGGTTCTCCATTCCTACTTTATTACATAAAGAATTATTTTTATATCTTAACCACTTGTGAATTTTATATGTTATATTTTGTTTTTTTTATTTTCTCTGTATGTATTTGATTATATTTTTTCTGCTTTTCTAGATAAAAAATAGTAATTAATTGAGGACAGAAAAGCAATGTATTCAGTTATCGCATTTTAAAGCTTTGGTCTATATTAACTTTTCACCTTTCATCTTTATTCTACATTAAGCTTTCATCTTTCCCCCTTATTTTTCATAGTATTCTCTGTCCTAAAGCTTGTTTAAATTTTGTTGTCAAGATTAGTAAAGTGGTTAAGTGGAATATTGTAAACAGTTAAATTCCTTGTTTCTGTCTGTTTTGTTAACTTATTCTTTTACTAGCTGTGTCCAACACTTCTGGGCAAGTTTCTGTAAAAAGCATAAGACAAATAAAACACAGGTGTTGGGTATGTGTGGTATAACTTCAGGTTGTACAGATGGTTATTCTCTGGTCTTCATGAAACTGATATGATACGTCTTACAAAAAAAAAACCAGGAAGGTGAATCCTTATCCTTAAACATAGACTATCAATGCCAGCAGGCCAGGCAAATAAAGTATTAAAAAGTGGAGAGTTAGGGTTTACATAGCTGTTTTCTGTCCTTTAATCTGCTTTGAGATGAAATCCGTGTAGGTCAGGGATGTAGAAATTGTAATCCTCCAGACGTTGGACTCCAACTTTCATCAGGTCTGGGATGATGGGAATTGAAATCCAGCAACATCTGAAGGGCTGCACATCCCCCATCCCTGTTGTAACTGGTGACTAGACTGACATGGGGTTTATTCAGCCCCTTACTAGCCTAGGGCTAATAGGGTTTTTTAAAAGACACTGTCCTCTCTGAATTTCATCTCTGTATATTTTCAGCTCCCAATAGATTTTATTATGTTCAGAATACAACTGAAGGCATTTGTTTTCTTTTTAAAGTACCTCTTCAGCAACTTGGGTTGGATCCCAAAAATCTTGCAGCAGTGCTTAACGAAGAGGAAGGATACCATCAAATTGGACCAGCAGAATATTGCAGAGACTACTTTGTTCTGTCTGTCACTGTTGCATTTGCTACACAGTTAGAACAGGTAATAATGCCAATCCATGGTACCACTATCTGGTTTCGCCTGTGGTGGAGCTTTCAAACTCTGGATGGTTAACATGTGAAAAATCATGTCTCATTGCAGCATGACTTGGTGGTTCTTCATAACCCCCTGATTCTGTATAAGTATGATTGTTCCCTTTATTGCTGTTAAAAATCTAAACCAACCTCAAAATTACAGTGTTGCTCTCATGATGGGAGGAGCTTGGGAGAGTGAGCAAGGACAACTTTCCAGCCTTGGAATTCCTTAGCTTTTGATGTTATCCATGTTAAATATTTAAAACTTGAATAGATGTTGGAATACAGCACTTCTTTTGATAATAGACATGGACATTCATAACTTCATATGAGCAGTGTTGAGGACCTATTGTTTGCATTTTTCCACTCTTTTTTGGTAACAGCTAATACCTACCACAATGAAACTTCCAGAACGACAGCCTGAGTTCTTCTTCTACTATTCACTCCTGGGCAATGATGTTACCAACGAACCATTCACTGATTTGATCAATCCAAACTTTGAGCCAGAAAGAGCATCTGTTAGAATACGCAGCAGCGTTGAAGTTCTAAGAGCTTATTTTTTTGCTCACTCAAAGTTGAAGGTAAGCATCCATTTCTGCTCTCTAGTAAACAAAGATTTAGCTGTTGCATCTTGTTTCGAAGTGTGTGACTCCTCTTCAGTCCAAATTGCTAAGAGACCATGAGGATACCATAAGAATTTAGTGTGTTATGGCAGATCAAATTTAAGAACTTTTATACTATTTTGATATGTTGTTAATTTTATTACTTATGAGCTGCACCTTCATAAAAATAGAAAAACAAGGCAGTGGGCAGAATAAGAAGCTAATACTACAGTAGTATCAGTATAAACTGCTTGGTAAAAAAATATGAACTGCTCAGTTTTTAGAGTATGTCTGAAAGAAAGCTTGCTAGACTTTCTTTTCTATGGACAAGGAGTTCTTCAGAGCTGCCACACTAAAAACATGCTCCCTGGTAAAGGACAACCAAACCTCAGGGGCATGGCAGAGAGACACCAAAAGTACCCCACCAGGGGATCTTGATAATTGAGGTACAGCATAAAGAATCATGCTACTCCTTAAAGTACATTGTGCCCAAATTGTTTATGGCTCTGTGAATTAACACAAGAACCTTGAGCCTGCCCTAGTAGGAAATCGACAACCAATGCAGCTCTCTCAGCAAATTAACATCGTTACCAGTAACCTGCCGAATTCTGTCCTAGTTGCAGCTTCTGGACCAGATAGATATAAGGGCAGCCCATATAAAGCATGCTACAGTAATCAACTCTTACAATTACCATTGCATGGACCACTGTGGTCAGGTTATCCTGGTCACAACAGATGTACCAGCCAAAGCTGGGAGAAGGAATTTCTAGCCCCAGATGTCAGTTGTGCCTCTAGTGAGAATTCAGGAGCACCCTCAAGCTATGAAAATGCTCCATCTTGGCCTTTCCTTCTTCCTTCCCCCTTAGAGCTTGTGAGTTGTGCCTTATCGTGTACTGAAACATGACCGCTTGGAGCCTCTTGCTATCTTTTGACCTGAAGAATACAGGGTTTTGGAGGATAAGACAGTCTGGGAAGATTAGGCAGTCTGGATAACCTTCTAAAGAAGGCTCTTTGACTTATTTTATTCCAGCATCCATTACAAACACATTATTTATTTTAAGGACATAATGTTTCCATTTAGATGTCATTGGTTGGGTGTAAGTAATCATTTTTGTACTGAATGCTCATTATAGTCACTTTCATGATACCCTTTTGAAACATAGATCCATCTTTGCTGTGGGGACCAGTCTCTTGGAAGCACTGAAATACTTTTAACTGGGCTGTTGAAGAAAGGAAGCGTGGAAATCCTTCAACATCCAGTAGCAATTGAAGGAGCATATATTCTTGTTCCACCTAACAGAGCCCGGCAAAAGCTGCCACCCATCCCTTTGGATATGGCTCCCACTGTTGGGGTATCAGTATCTCTTCAAAAAGATAGCAGAGTTTCTCAGGTACAGCTCAATTGTTCCCCTTTTTATATGCTTTTAAAAATGCAAATAAAAATAGAAAATATTATTGCTGGTACGCATGTATGAAATGAAGTTATTGTTATTATTATTAAATTTCTATACTGCCCCTCATCCGAGGATCACGTGTTTAAACTAGGCACTATTGTTTCGTTCAGCCTCAGTTATCTTCAAAGGTTGAGTCTGAAAATGTGAAAAGAGCTTCATCTCCAATGCGTGATCAAAAAAGGAGTCCTGAGCCTGGTTCTCAAAATGCGTTACCCCGGGTTAGCCATTCTCCTCCCATAAAAGATGACGCGACAGACAGTGAAGTGGAAAGTCTTCAGTATGACAAGAACCCAAAGGCACAGAAAAAAGGTAGGCAGCACATCAAAGCAAATGTTTATAAATTTACAGCTGTCATATCTACCACAAAATACTGTTTTCTTTATGATTGCTTGGTAAACTGATGCAAGGAAGTGGGTGATCATTCACTATGCAGTAATGCAACTTAAAATATTCTGAAGACTCCAGTAAAAGGGAGAGAGTTATCTGCGGTCCACCAGTGAACTGTGGGCGATGTAAGGTTTTAAATTTGTGAACATGATGTGTGGTTTAGCTCTGCAGTTGAAGAACTGGGCAGATATTTGTATCCAAGCAAATTGCTTGGGTCTAAGCACTGCTCCAGGACGCTGGTGGTGCTGCGGTCTAAACCACTGAGCTTCTTGGGCTTGCCAATTGGAAGGTCAGCGGTTCGAATCTCCATGACGGGGATGAGCTCCTGTTGCTCAGTCCCAGCTCCTGCCAACCTAGCAGTTTGAAAGCACATCAAAGTGCAAGTAGATAAATAGGTACCGCTCTGGCGGGAAGGTAAACGGCGTTTCTGTGCGCTGCTCTGGTTCGCCAGAAGCGGCTTAGTCATACTGGCCACCTGACCCGGAAGCTGTATGCCGGCTCCCTCGGCCAATAAAGCGAGATGAGCGCCGCAACTCCGGAGTCAGTCACGATTGAACCTAATGGTTAGGGGTCCCTTTACCTTTAAGCACTGCTCCCTTCCCTTGTGAACAGAAGGCAGGAGCATAGCCTCCAGCTGGTGGCCACTTTGCAAGATACAGTGGTACCTCAGGTTACATACGCTTCAGGTTACAGGCTCTGCTAACCCAGAAATAGTACCTCGGGTTAATAACTTTGCTTCAGGATGAGAACAGAAATCGTGCTCCGGCGGCGTGGCAGCAGCAGGAGGCCCCATTAGCTAAAGTGGTGCTTCAGGTTAAGAACAGTTTCAGGTTAAGTACGGACCTCCGGAACGAATCAAGAACTTAACCTGAGGTACCACTGTAGGGCCAATGTGTGAAGGCTGCTTGAAATATGAACACCTATTTTTGGTATGCTATTTTTTGTTTGCCACGTCGACCAGCCTGCACCACGTGACTTACCTTCAAATTGTCATCAGCCGTGTTTGGCCACAGGCTATGATACTGTACAGCTAGTTCAACATTTAGGTTTAGAAAGGAAAAAAAAAACTTAGTATGGGAAACAGCCATATTAGAAAAAACAACCAATAAACTGAAACTGACACATGGACAAATAGAAGAAGACTCCTTCATCCCGGTATGGCTCCCCTTTATCACATACACAGCACAACAAGATGACAAGGATCCACCAACGGCATATGGATCAATATGGCTAACCTGATTCAGAAATTCACACTCTCCCCTCTCTCACACAAAAACAATTCTCACTACATTCAACCAAAGACAACCAACCACACCCTAAGCCACCCCCAACCTCTCTCACCACCAAGGAAATAAAACAAGTGAATAGTAAGAGAACCCATACAAGTAACACTGACACAACCCCTCTCACACACTAATTAGAATAATAGAAGTATAACCACCCGACCCCACCCAACTTCCCACTCCCCCTCTCCCCCTTTTTTTCTTTTTCTTTTCTTCTTCTTCCTAATTGTTTAAACCAATTCATAAACCAAGAACTTATACATTGACCACTAATAATGAAACACATGTTGTAGATATTTTTCCACATTTATTGTGCTATTTTTGTGATACACAAATGACATGAGAAAACTTGGTATACTTATTTGAATAACATTATTCTTGTTTATAAAACCCAAGAAAGAAAGAAAGAAAACTAAATTTTGTCCAGAAAAAAATTCAAAAGCTTCTTACTTTCAAGTATTAGAACTTGTACAGCAGGGGCTCTCAAGTTTGGAATGTGTCAGCATCTATCTTAAAAGAAAATGCGCTGTCTGTTTTCTCTTCAGCCTCGAATGCCCGAGCACCCGCTTCTCAGACTCAGCAGGCTGGTACCTCTGAATCTACCACAGGTCAAAAAATTGCTGTTCCAGCAGCATCCCATCACTTCTGTTTCTCAATAGACTTAAGAACTCTCCATAATCTGGATACTGGCTTTCCCATCAATTGTATGTTAAGGTAAAGCATGTTTTGGATAATTGTTTCACATCTCTTCATTGGGAGAACTTTAAATTACCGTATTTTTCGCTCCATAGGGCGCACCGGACCATAGGGCGCACCTAGTTTTTAGAGGGGGAAATCAAGAAAAAAAATCTTATTTCCCCCCCAGCCCCAAAGAGCAGCATACAGGCTGCGCACAACCTCTCCCTGCTTGAGGGGTTGCATGCGGCTATGGCACAAGCCAAGACAGCGAACGGGATGGATCCCGCTCGCTGTTTTGGCTTCCTCTTTAGCTCCGTGCAACCTCACCCTGCTGGAGGGGTTGCGCGCGGCCATGGCACAAGCCAAGGCAGCGAGCGCCTCGCTGTGAAGCTGGAGGAGGAACAGAAGGAGACCCTTCTGTTCCTCCTCCAGCTTCGCAGGACAGGCGCCTCGCTGCGAAGCGAGAGGAGGAACAGAAGGAGTCCCTTCTGTTCCTCCTCCAGCTTCCAGGCAGGTGCGTGGCTGAAGGGGCGCTGCACAGTTCTCCCTCTCTGCAAAGGAGAGGCACTGTGCAGAGAGGGAGAACTGCAGCGCCCCTTCAAGCGAAGCTGGAAGAGAATCAGAAGGAGACCCTTCTGTTCCTCCTCTGGCTTCGCAGGACAGGCGCCTCGCTCCCCGGGCTTCGGGCTGCAGGCTGCTATCCGCAAGCCTTCGGAGCCCGGCAGGAACTCCTGCTGCTCTCCGAAGGCTTGTGGATAGCTTCTTGAAGCCTGGAGAGCGAGAGGGGTCGGTGCGCACCGACCCCTCTCGCTCTCCAGGCTTCAGTGAAAACCTGCATTTGCTCCATAGGACGCACACACATTTCCCCTTCATTTTTGGAGGGGGAAAAGTGCTTCCTATAGAGCGAAAAATATGGTATTTTCCCATTGCTTTCTGGCCCTTAACCAGTTACCGGTCCATGAGAGGATCTGGAAGTCTAGGTACACTGTGTCTCCATAATCACTTCTGTGTGCCCTGTAAATATCAAACTTCTTGCTCATCATGAAATTGATCTAAAACTATGGGTAATTGCATCTTTCTTAGCAGAGTTTTATCCCTATAATTCTGAGGATAGGGCATAGGTACTGTACACTGTAAGAGGGCAATCTCCAACTATGTGCAGGTCTTGTAACTTCCATTCATGGACACACATGTCTTGCCCGAATATTCCCTTTTCTTTAATCTACACATTTCTTTATAAACTCACTATGCTGTTGTGGCAACTTGTGGATTTTTAGCTATGTTTCTGGATGGAAGACCCCAGTATACATGCTAAGTTGGAAAGTTTCTACGTTTTTAAAAAAGCTAGGGAAATACTGAAAGGAGTAACTTCATGGAAACTGGGCACAAGCGTCTCACTTTTCGGCTGAGTAATTTTTGTTGTGTAACTAGCCCACTTGGCCTTCTGTTTTATGGAATGTGAAATGTCCATTGAATGAAACTTGGTATATGAAGTCCAGGAAGAATTCTATGTTTCAGCTCCCTAGTGGTGACCAAAAATGTAATCCTGGGGAACACCAGGGAAAATCTGCAGCAACATATTAAAACGCACACCGCTAGAAATATTCTTAACAATACCCAACTGCATCTTGTTACTGGGCGCAGGATCACTGTCACACTCTGCTCCCTTGCTTTAGAAAATAAACGATGCAAGTCAGTCTTGCCTCTCCGGAACAATGGGAATCCAGTGTTCCTTCAAGATTTTGTTGGACTCCAAAGCCCACCATCCTCAACCAGCATGGCCAATAGTGAGAGGCGATAAGAGCGTATTGTTTGATAGAAACAATGGTGTGGCATTCACCTAAGTTTGATTCATAGAAGACCCACGGAAATTAATGGACCTAACTTAAGTCCTCTTCATTAATTTCAATAGGTATACTCTGAATAAACTCAGTTGAATACCATGTTAAGACATGCCATTAAGTCATTAGTTAGCCTGAAGTTCATTTACTTAAAGGTCTTGAAGTCATAAGCTATTAGCACTGAATTTGTTCTAATATTAATTTTATTTATTTATTTATTTATTTATTTATCAATGGGACGTGGGTGGCACTGTGGTCTAAACCACTGAGCCTCTTGGGCTTGCCGATCAGAAGGTCGGGGGGTCGAATCCCCACGGTGGGGTGAGCTCCCGTTTCTCTGTCCCAGCTTCTGCCAACCTAGCAGTTCGAAAGCATGCCAGTGCAAGTAGGTAAATAGGTACCAATGCGGCGGGAAGGTAAACAGCGTTTCTGTGCACTCTGGCTTCCATCACAGGGTCCTGTTGCACCAGAAGTGGTTTAGTCCTGCTGGCCACATGACCCGGAAATCTGTCTGTGGACAAATGCCAGCTCCCTAGGCCTGAAGGCGAGATGAGCGCTGCAACCCCATAGTCACCTTTGACTTGACTTAAGCGTCCAAGGGTCCTTTACCTTTACCTTTTTACCTCCATAGGTACTCGTATCCGTTTTTTGGAAGCGCTGCACCCATTATGACAAACCCTCCCGTGGAAGTAAGGAAGAACATGGAAGTGTTTCTTCCCCAGTCATATTGTGCATTTGATTTTGCAACGATGCCCCATCAGCTACAGGATACCTTCTTCAGGTATGTAACAAGGGTGACATTTTAACAATCTCTGCATTGGCACATTTCTCTTTCCTTCACAGCCATACTTACATTTTGAAATTGCAAGTTAGCACTAGCTCAACATGACTTTGTATCTTCTCCCCATCCTCCCACTTTATCTAGATCTGCTCTGGAGGGTTTGGGGAGCATTCCCCTTAGCACTACATTAAATACAACCCTATACATTTGTCCTCAGGATTGGTTATTTACCGTATTTTTCGCTCTATAGGACGCACCCGACCATAGGACGCACCTAGTTTTAGAGGGGGAGAACAAGAAAAAAATTCTCTCCCTCTCTACACAGCGCCCCTTCAGCGAAGCGGCAGGAGAAACGGAGCCCCTTCCATTTCTCCTCCTGCTTCGCTGAAGGGGCGCTGCACAGAGAGGGAAAGCTGTGCAGCGCCTCTCCAGCGAAGCAAACCCAGGAGAGCAAGAGGGATCAGTGCGCACCGATCCCTCTTCCTCTCCAGGCTTCAGCGGGCTATCCCGCTGTGCTTTGGAGGCTTTGCGTTGCTTTCGCTGAAGCCATGGAGCCTGCATTCACTCCATAAGATGCACACACATTTCCCCTTAATTTTCGGAGGGGGGAAATGCATCTTACAGAGCAAAAAATACGGTAGTTCAGGTGGCACGTTTTGTGTCAGCGAGGTGGTATGGTATTTGCTAATAAGTTCCATTTAAATATTTGTCCCTGCTTTGCTTTTTTCTTTTTTTTTTTTAAATCATATTTATTAAAATTTCCAAAAATATAAAAATACAAAGAAAAAAGACAAAAGAAAGAAGATATTTAAAAACCTTACTTTCATTCCCTACTTTCTGGGACTCCCGCCCCCCCAATTGTATTCCCTTTCCTTAATTTGGTTCTACAAGCTCTCACTCCCAATTTAAAGCTTAATTTGTTTAACCCACTATCCAGATTGAATTGTACAAATCTTACCACCGTCCCACATCATTAACAGAAAAAGAAAAAAGATTTTCCCCAAGATCCACCCCAGTTCCTTCCACAAATTCCCTTTTTTTAAACACGTCCGATCAAAGTAAAATAACATGCGTAAGTTATGTAAAGAAATAGAAAATAAGAGATATAGAAAAATTCAAAAAATGGTTACACAGCCTTTGGATTTCAAATCTCCCCCCCCCCCTTCCCCGGTTTGAATTCCCCATATCCATCAGTCTATACATTATCAGCTTGGAAGTCTCGTTTCATGACCAGATTTCTCCCCGATTCCATCTTGCCGGTTTTCTTTTAGTTTATTAATTTAAATAATATTTGACTTCAAATGTCCAATCTAACAAAGGCCTTTAATTTCCTTTGATCTTTACCACTCCTCCCGTTGTTCTTTCCGTGTCGTAATCAGTCCTTTATTCTTCTTATTCCTCACTTTCGAGTATCACTGGTTTGCAGCTGCTAAAACTTATTAGAACATTTCTAGGTTTGAAGCCCTAATACTTCCGTAGACAAATACTAGTTCGAGATACAACGCAACGATTTACACCTTAGTTCCAAACCTGTTCTTGTCTAATCAATCAAGTTTTCCAACAGTTATATCCATATATTGTAAAAATAACGATCCTCGTCTCTTCACAGCCGACACGTCCTCTCACAGGCATCTCTTTTACCCTTCCAGCATTTCTTAATCATTAATTATTTTATCAATACTTCTTGGACCTTGTAGTCTGTTTGCGTGACTATCGCCCCTCGCAACAAATTTGACGTTTCCCAATTACGGTTGTTAGAATTTAGAAGCCCGTTGGCGCAGGTGGACACCCGCCTCCGACTGACGAGTAGCGAAGGCTCAACGGACTCGCCTGGTTTGGCCGCGACAGCCCTGCCAGACCCCCGGGCCGGAGGTCCGCCGGCGATCGCTACCCGCTCTGCTTTTTCCAGCAGTGTGGGCATGATCCTGTCATCTTCACAAAGGGCAGAATGCAGAGCCATGACACTTGCAGTGTGTGGCCTCGGTCTCATTCGCTTCCACATCTATAGGGGTAATGGACAGGGGAGAGTAGGTTGGTTTCTAGTGGTCCTAGCAACTGGGGGTATAGCCTGTATGCAAGGGCAGGTAGGGACTCAAATTGCCGAATACCAGAGATCTGGGTGCATGCTTTGAAGAACCAGGTACTTGCCCAGCACAGTAGGGGGTGGCAGGTGACAAAGGGAGATATGGTTCTCTCTGTGTGTGTTGTTTTCTAAGTGATGGATTAGGTCCCGCAAAGCACATTTGGTCATCTCACCCTTCGTATGATTGCACTTTGCTCTCTGTGTGCAACTGGTAGGGACTGGAATCTGCCCTATATCATTCACTGACTCAGTTCGAAACCTGCAAACCTATTCTAAACTGAATGTACTTCAGAGCAACTCATTCATATTCAGAAGAAATACTACTTGCTTGTGGAAGCTGTTGAATTTTCACTCCTAATGTGATGTGACACAGGTTTGGATGGGTTTTTACTGTTGTTAATGGCTTAACCAGTAGGAATGGAGAAACCTTAAGATAACAACTTCACCATCGTTCTTCCCTTGGATTGGGACCTATTTTCAGAAATGCAGGAAGTCAAAGTATATCGCTCAATTGTATATTTCTAGGATGAGAAATTACTGTGATGGGTGTGAAATGTTCTTGCAAAATTGAGCATCCTTGAACTCCTTCAAGTGGTTGTACTATTTTGCCACAGGGTAGCATTGATGTCTGCCAGTGCATCTATGCCAACATCACAAAAGATGTAAAATAAATGCATCTCTTCTATCCATCCCAGCCTACGGCAACTGAGGAAAAACCCATCTATGAGAACAAATACAAACTCCTGTATGCTATGTGTCTTTTTTCTCTCTGTATTTCAGGATACCATTGCTGGTGGAGTTGTGGCATAAAGATAAAACAGCCAAAGACTTACTGCTGGGAGTTGCAAGACTCCAGCTTTCAAATATTTTGGCCATGGAAAAAACCCGCTTTCTAGGTGCCAGTGGGGAACAGTGCTGGCGCCAGACCTTCAGTGAAACAATCCCTGTTACAGCAGCGCAAGGGTACAATGAGCTTTGAAAAATTAGGTTCCTCTGTTATAGCTGGTTCTGTTTAACACTCCTATAGGCCTTTTGGAATTATTATTTTTTTGCATTTAGTAAAACTCTTAATACTTATTTTTGAAGAGCTTGCATAACTCTTAATTTTGGGGGACAAAAGGGATCAGTGGAACAATAGTGTGGGAGACCACATCACTTCCATCCTCTTGTGATGCTGCAGAGCTTCTGAAAGAATACAGTGGTACCTCGGGTTACGTACGCTTCAGGTTACATACGCTTCAGGTTACAGACTCCGCTAACCCAGAAATAGTACCTCGGGTTAAGAACTTTGCTTCAGGATGAGAACAGAAATCGTGCTCCAGCGGCACGGCAGCAGCAGGAGGCCCCATTAGCTAAAGTGGTGCTTCAGGTTAAGAACAGTTTCAGGTTAAGTACGGACCTCCGGAACGAATTAAGTACTTAACCCGAGGTACCACTGTACACTCAGTTGAACTTGAAAAGTGATACCAATTTGTACTTGTAGAAGTGTACACAAAAGATTCCAAATGTGCCTTTCTTTAGCAGTCATGCAAGCATTGTCTGCTGACTTGGTAAAGATTTGATTACAATGTGGAGCTTGGAATTTTTAATTTATATAACTTTCTAATGGTAAATATATATTTAATTTCAAAATATATGTTTGCACAATCATACTTTTCAATATATTACGTAGAAGATTCTTTCTGAAAAGCATGAGTGTACCCAAACTTAGTAGCCACTAGATGGCAGCCCTCCAAACCTAATTGACTTTAGCGTTTGATGTCAAACTCAACTCACTGATGTGAAAGTGACTGTACTCCTTTGTACTGACTTGTTTCAAATGTCAGATGTTTATTTCCTGTAACTCGATAAGTTTACCCAACTTTTCAGTGTATTTGCATAGAAAACTACTTAAACTTTACTAAAAATGGATAAAAGGAAGCTTGAGAAACAAATGTAAACTGTAAAATTATTACTGTACGCAACTTGGCTTTCATATTTTTGTTTATTTAGTGATACTTTTTGACTTTTTTAGTAACAAGACAATCATCTGGAAAGAGTCTGGAACATTTATTTTTGTGGACAGTTGACCTTAATGTGTTTCCTTTAGGTCCACACTTGTCAGGTTGTGAGTGTGCATATTAAAGTAAGACACTTGCAGCAGCAAATATTTAATTCTGAGCTTTGAAACAAAACTGTTTGCAGATATACAGAAAAATAAGTGTTGAGTCTAACCTGATAGCCAGTGCCACAACACAAGTGATTAGGAGGAACAAAGAAGATTCAGGCAGACCAGAGACTTCATGAATAGGAATAAATGCTCTGTACTCTAATAGAGCAGCTATTCCTTTTTCAACTCTCTGTGTTCTATATTCCTAAAAGAATTGGTGTCATGTCTGGGTCTGTCAGTCAATCAAACAATTTATTGTGTATAGCCAAAGGCCTTTACAATGAGCATGTTTTGATCAGTCGTCTGACAGTCAGGATTGTTTGACTTCTTTATATAAAACTTGTTTAGCTCCCGAGATCTTTTTTGGGAGGAAAGAGAGAAAAGACTGTTGGAGAAATAAGTCCACTTTTCTCATGCTTGTTCCATTGTAAACAGATGACAGTAGAGAGCAAGATTAATCTCGAATGAGAGAAGAACTGAAATGTTTTTGTTCTTGTTTATAGGACAAGCAACAGGATAGCCGAGCTTTCATACACAGTGACTCTAGAAGATTATGGGCTTTTGAAAATGCATGAAGTTGTGGTGTCTGATTCTTCTCAGGTAAACAGAAATGCACCCTTTCTTGTTTGGAAAGACACAACTCCGTTGAAGGTTATCTAATAGCATTTCCATGTTTAGGGTTTAGGTGCCAATGAGCCACCACTGGTTCCTTCATCTCAGCCACGTAATGTTCCTGAAATCCAGCCGGAAAGAAGAGAAACTCTAGAGTACAAAGCAGCACTTGAATTGGAAATGTGGAAGGAACTACAAGAAGATCTTTTTGAAAACCAGGTTTCTTTATACATTTTTTTTTTAACCAGAACTACAGGTCTACTCTTAACAAAAGGCTAATGTGACAGATCTTAAACCTAGGTTGCACTTCAGGTGGATACAAGCGTGGGAAAGAGGTTTTTAAATTGGAATCAGCCCTTTAGCTGATTGTACGACAGCATTGTACACTTGGCAGATTCATAATGTTCAATTACATTTTTAGGCGTGTCTCACAGGGTAATCACCCCAGTCTCACATTGTATCTGGGCAAAATGGCAGTTTGGTATATCTTCAAGATGTCCCCAGGACATTGTATCTGGGCAAAATGGCAGTTTGGTATATCTTCAAGATGTCCCCAGGACGTTGGCAGCAGGCTAAAACTGATCTGCGTTTTAGAAAGATTATTTATATTCAAGAGGAATCTTACCTATTTACAGTCTTGAGTGCAAAGGTTCATCCTTACCGATACAGGAACACTTCTGGCCTGCTGCCCCATCCTTCAGTCATTATAATATATCAGTCATGAGACTGTACCACCTTTGGATTTTACAGAGCACCTTGGAAGAGTGGGGGAGAGAGAATTACAAATATTTGCAATATTGAACTAAGAGGAGGAGTGATTTTATTCACTGGGGTCTTGCAATGTACTGGCATGTTCACTTTCTGTGGGTATAGCCTGGAAAGTGCCCAGGGTAGCTCAGTTGCTAGAGCATGAGACTCTTAACCTCAGGGTCGAGGATTTGAGCCCCACATTGGGCAAAATAGTCCTGCATTGTAGGGGGTTGGACTAGATGGGTCCTTTCCAACTCTACAATTCTATGATTCTATTCTACTTTTAAAATTTCATTCCACTTCAGTTGCTTTTCCCTCCCATCTCTCCTGCTTCAGTTGAATTCAAGTGGAAGCTTACCTCTCTTTTTCCAATCACTTTTAAGGCTTTCTACTTCCATTTTAAAGGGATGTGGGTGGCGCTGTGGGTTAAACCACTGAGCCTAGGGATTGCCGATCAGAAGGTCGGCGGTTCGAATCCCCGCAACGGGGTGAGCTCCCGTTGCTCGGTCCCTGCTCCTGCCAACCTAGCAGTTTGAAAGCACGTCAAAGTGCAAGTAGATAAATAGGTACCGCTCGGGTGGGAAGGTAAACGGCGTTTCCGTGCGCTGCTCTGGTTCACCAGAAGCGGCTTAGTCATGCTGGCCACATGACCCGGAAGCTGTACGCCGGCTCCCTTGGCCAATAAAGCGAGATGAGCGCCGCAACCCCAGAGTCGGTCACGACTGGACCTAATGGTCAGGGGTCCCTTTACCTTTACCTTTACTTCCATTATGTTTCGTAACACACAGTTCTGCTATTATTAGCCTATGAGTTATGGTAGCATTTTATGACTGCTTAAATAAATTTGCAAATGTGGTGTAAAGTTCTCCATTTTACTTCTGGTTATGGTAGCTTTAGATATAATTCAGCTTTACACGGCTATGCATAACTATTGCCTCTTACCAGCTATCATTTTAAAATTAATAGACCTGTAATCAGTTTTCAGGACTGATAATGGGAGCTGTCTGTGTATTTGATCTGGAATTCCCCCCGATGTCCTGAATATTTAATTTGCATGCAGTGTTGAGTTTCTAGAGGAAAGACTTCCACAATAGTTCTGACTGAGTCATGCAAATTTTACGGTTTTCGAAGGAAGACATTTTGAAATTGCCTTTGTTTTTTGCAGCTGAAGAAGAAGGAGCTAGCTCATATGCAGGCTGTTGCAGAGGAGTGGAGAAAAAGGGACAGAGAGAGGGAAGCATTGGTGAAGAAAAAAGTAAGACCCTTTCCCCTTTGAAATGCTTCACAGCATAATGAACTGTCATGATAGCTGGCAGTGGAAAAGGGTGATGTATTTCATTAGTTGCTGGAAGAAGACCTAGACACACAGCCCATAAAACCTACACAAAAATACTTTAGGTAACACACCTTAGAGATACCCTGGAATTGTTTACGAATTAAGCTGCAATATATTTCCTTTCGGTTGAGTTTAAATAAAGATATATAGTACTGCTAGTCTTGCAGAGCAATCCTGCACTGTAATATGCCCCACTGAGTTTTACTCTCAGGTAAATGTGTATAGGATTGTGGCCTAAGTCTTGTTGAAGTCTATTAGCAGTGCAGGCTCTGATGCATAATATTTTGAAATCATAAAAGTCAAGTTGTCACTTGTTTTGTGGGATTTCAAGCTCATTTTAAATCTGGTTTCTTTTGCAAGGATATAGTGTCATCCAAGAACAAATACCATGTTCAGTTTAGAAAGAATTATTATTATTATTGTTATTATTATTATTATTTATTATTATTATTATTATTTTAACTGTATACATTCTAGGTTGCAGAATATACTGTTTTGGAAGAAAAACTTCAAAAAACGTTGACTGACTTAGAGAAGCGTGAAAAGCAACTTGTTGGTGCTGAAACTGAGGTAAACATATGCAACGCAATGTTATATCTGGCACTGTGCACATACAGAAACCATTTGTTTCTGAGCACAATTCAAAGTGTTGGTGCTGACCTTTAAAGCCCTAAATGGCCTTGGCCCAGTATATCTGAAGGAGCATCTCCACCCCCATCGTTCAGCCCGGACACTGAAGTCCAGTGCCGAAGGCCTTCTGGCGGTTCCCTCACTGCAAGAAGCCAAGTTACAGGGAACCAGGCAGAGGGCCTTCTCGGTGGTGGCACCCGCCCTGTGGAACACCCTCCCACCAGATGTCAAAGAGAACAACAACTAACAGACTTTTAGAAGACATCTGAAGGCAGTCCTGTTCAGGGAAGCTTTTAATGTTTGATGCATTACTGTATTTTAATATTTTGTTGGAAGCCACCCAGAGTGGCTGGGGAGGCCCAGCCAGATGGGCGGGGTATAAATAAATTATTATTATTATTATTATTATTATTATTATTATTATTATTTTGAAAAAACTCAAAAGAACTGTTCCAGTTCATCTTAGATTTGTGCTCGGATTGGAATTTTTCCATGCTATGGAACATGGCTTTTTCTGGTGCATAGTTTTGGGGCTTTTGTGTGCATGTTTTAGTTCATTGGCAGGTTGGTGTTGATGGGGAGGGAAAGAGGAGCATAATTTTTTATTTGTGGGAATACCTAAAAAATAAGCAAGGTGCATCTTGTAGCCATCAAGTATTCCTGTACTTAAAGCTGCAAAACCATCAGATTTGGCAGAGAAATCGCTGTTACATAGCTAGGAGCAGGGCCAGATTTAGATTTGATAAGGCCCTAAGCTACTGAAGGTAATGGGGCCCTTTCTATGTCCAGCTGTCCTTTGTCAGCAACAAATTGTCACTGTTTTTTGTGTTGAATATATGCTGTATGGTAATTTATGGACCTAATAGGTATCCAATGCCATTTTATTTGTTTTTTATCTTATATTTTGGAAATGTACATCCAGTTGTTTTTTTCCTTTAAAACATTTTTGGGCCCCCAAGAAAGTGGAGCCCTAAGCTATAGCTTGTTTAGCTTATACGTAAATCCAGCACTGGCTAGGAGCCATGGTTTTTTGCCCTCGTAACTCCATGGATGTTGTGGAACACACTCCACACAGCTAGGCTAAGTTTATACAGTATTGTTATATTATAATTATTATTATTAATTTTAAAAGTTGGTCAAAGAAATGCATGAGTTACTCGTGAGAGTAATGTCAATCGAGCGTGCTTTCTAAATGAGGCAGCGCAGGTTTACATCTGGACAACCACAGGTGCTGAAATCTCTCTCTCTCTCTCTGTGTGTGTGTGTGTGCTTTAAATTTTAAGCTCCAAAGAGCAAAGAAAGAGCTCCAAGCAGAGCATGAACGAAACCGTCAGGAGCTTCAAGATGCAATGCGGCGAGTCAAAGAAGAATGCATGCATCAGGTGGAGCTGGAAAAATCTAGGTTCAGACAGTTGGAAGAGGACAAGATCCGCTTGCAACAACAAGTGAGTGGAACTTAACTTTTCCAAGTTAGATACAACCAGTGCTTTTTCCCCTAAAAAAATGCTTAGGGGTACTCTTATTGTGACTCAAGAAAATCACCATTTTATAGTTCAAATCGGGGAAAATAAATAAAGTAAATGGACAAAAGTACAAAGATTCAGGAAATGTTGGGGGGGGAAGCACTGGATACAACTTTATTTAATGGTAGAGATGGACATAGATTTTTTGGGTGATCTTACGGCCAAGTTAATTAAAGCTTTAAAATATCCTGTTCTCCTTCAATAAAAGCAAAAAAGGGAGTCCAGATATTTTAATGCCACCAGCCTCGCAGAGGTGTCCGTGGAGGGGATATATTGATCGAAAGGGTATTGTATTGTAACTGTATTGTAACTTTTGAATAAATGTGTTTTAAAAAAAGTTAATCACAGCTAATTAATGAGATTAGGTTGGTGGTGCTTCCTGAGGGCACCCCTCTCTCTTTAATGCTAAGGACCAAACTATGTGCGCAGTGTATTCTTGATGCTTCTAAAATGTTCATTGACAGATTTGTGCGAATCTTCTCAGGACCAAAGGCCCTCCCATTTTTTAGAAGGGCGTTTTTGAGTTTGATCCACTGTTTATTGAGTTTCCTTCAAGAAATCCAAGTGTCTTGGATATCCTCCATATCTTTTATTTTCTCCATCTCTCTTGCTATGTTGCTAAGGAAGAATTTACTTATCACAACCTTAGCTTTATAAATAATTTGCCTGAACAAAATACTTATTTTTTTCCATTTATGTGTTGACTTTTTTGACTTGTCTAAGTGGTTAATAATTTTCTAAAAATCAGTAAAGAATAAGAATAATGTTCATTCACTGCATTATTGGTAGTACTGTGCAAGAAACAGGAGGAAACTGCATAAAATCATTTTCTCAGAAAGGCCTGTTGGAATGAAACAAAAAAATCTCAAGTGCCCTTCTAAATCATTAAGAGAAATCTAGCAGATTTCCCAAGGAGGAATGGTGGCTGCCATCACAAAGAAGTTTTTTTCCTTTTTAATATTTGGTGTGCATATCTCTCTCTCTCCCTCTCTCTCTCTCTCTCTCTGTGTGTGTGTAAAAACTATAAAGCAATGTAATATTTGGGGAACCATTTCTTAATCTTTGACAATCTGTTTGTATGGTAGTAGTGCTCCTTTTGTGATGCTCTTTGGAGACCCAGTTGAAGACCAGTAATCTATTGGGCAAAATGTTCCTTTCAGCTCTTTGTTGTGTTATCATCTAGGCATAAACTCATCCAACTTCTGTTTCTTCTTCTTCTTCTTCTTCCAGCTTTATGACTGGGAAAACAAGTATAAAGCTCTGGAGAAAGAGTTTCAGCAATACAAGGAACAGCAAAGCAGCAAGCCAGAAATCCGGCTGCAATCCGAAATAAGTATTCTAACTTTAGAAAAGGTATGTCTACAATTTTATCTGAAGGCTCAGAAAGAATAGCGGCATTTTACAACAGATTAAATGTAGACGGCATGAACAAGAAAAAACAAAACTTGGAATAAACTCCAAATTTAACCCAGCCACAAAATTTGCATCATAAATATAAACAAAACAAAAGAATCCTTCTGGAAGATGCTGTAGCTTTTAAGAGCTTGCCAGGGATAGGAGTTTCACATTCCTTTACAGTTCATCTGTGGCAGTATTTTCCAGATTTCATTGTTACTGATAACTCAAGCAGAGTACACCTAAAATGAGTTTTTGATCCAGGATAAATTGTAATAAATATTCTTAGACCATTGGTTATCGAGGTACTACCACTGTTGCGTAGGGGGGGGGAAATGGTAAGCCAAGTTAAGTGTTTGCAAAATGTTCTTAATTCATGGCAGACACCAGTCATTAGATGGACATGAACTCTAGAGGCCCTTCTTGTTGTATCAGTAGCTTCATTTAGACTCTTCTTACTTATGATAGCTTGAGCTTGTTATTTATAAATGTTGCATGTTTGACAGCACTGCGAATGTATGTAGTTTTCAAAATTCTAATCTATGCCTTTGACTCAGAAGAGGTAACATATATCCAGTTTATGAAGAAAAGATTGGGGGATTTTCCTGATAAGCAGTTCTTTATCTCTTTTGGGGTGTGGAATTGGCAAGAGTTAGGAAAGGACTCTTAATAATAAGTTTATTATTTATACTCCACCCATCTAGCTGGGTTGCCCCAGCCAGTCTTGTAAAAGAATGCAGTTTTTAAGCTACTGTCTCAAATTCCCAGGCAATAGCTTCAGACTTCATTTTATTGCCCCAGATCTGGTTCCCACAAACATCAGTTTGGACAGTCATATATATTCAATGCATGTATAAGATGCTGCCTTTTTAAAAAACAACAACCTGTGTTACGATGTGATAGAACAACAACCAAAGAAATGAGGACTCTCTGTTCACCAGCCGTTAACCATTAGGATGTCCATACATATGTCCTTGCTTACTCACTCACTAACAGGGTTAGTGAAACTGTACCATTGTAGCTGAAGGTCAGGGACCATGGGAGTTGTAGTCCAGTAACATCTGATGAGCCACAGTTCCTCACTCCTGCATCTAGAGCAATGTTTCCCAAACTTGGGTCTCCAGCTGTTTTGGGACTACAACTCCCATCATCTCTAGCTCACAAGATTAGTGGTCAGGGATGATGGGAATTATAGTCCAAAAACAGCTGGAGACCCAGGTTTGGAAATCACTGATCTAGAAGCAGGTTCTACTTTTTCTTGAGCCTCTGTACAGAACTTGCAGCTTTGGACATTGAATTCTAACCAGGGACATGGAGTTGGCCTGAATATTACTCCTGAAGTCATACTTCCAGATCCTACAGGATTCAGAAGCCCCCAACAGAATAGTTTTATTTTTCATAGCTGAAGTAGAAGCAGTTTACAAGTCCTCCTGGCCTGGCAATGCGTAAGAAGACCAGTTAAGGGGGGAAACATTTTCTGCTGCTTTTGAGGGAGCGTGAGTTATTTAATGCAGAGACATGATCTTTCAAACTGAAGACTTAAAAGGTGCAATCTAACCAAACTAAGAGGCACACATTAGCTAGAATTTCAAGGATCAGGCATGCCAAGTCTTGCATCATCAATTAAGCTGAAATATGAACAGCGAGTGATTTTTATATAAAAATGAATGCTATCTTTGAGTCCTTTGAAGATGTTTAAAAATGGTTTACATGAACTGTTTAGATGAACTGTCTCAGACTGCAGACTAATCCAGTTTTGCTTTGTTGGACAATAAAAATAAGGCTAATGCTTAAACGAGGATATTCTTGTGCACCACAGTATTTACATCAAATTGTGTTACAGCTTTAGAAGTTACATGCTATACTAAACTATTTTTGTAATACAAGTTTTGTATATTCAATTGCATAAAGATTATTCCTACGGTTATAGTGTTTGTTGATAGAGCTCTGCTCTTTATTAGGGGGACCTTGAAAGGAAGTTGGAATCGGCGACCAAGGCAAAACTACACTACAAGCAGCAATGGGCGCGAGCGCTGAAGGAACTAGCAAGGCTTAAACAGGTGTGTTTAAGATAAATCAGTGGTGGGGAACCTAAAGCCCAGGGCCAGAATGTGGCCCTCCAATCTTCTCTGACTCTTGAAACTCTCATGAGAACAACAAGAGGAAGTTGCTTCTATATACATTAGTGAAGCCAAATCTGTCTTGCTGTGGTGTGCCTACTTAGGAGAAATAACTGGAGATATTAGTGTTTATCAAGGATGCTTGTAAAGATCTTTCATCGTTTGAGGAAAAAACAATAGCTGTCTCAGCTGCTGGCATCTTTTGCAGCCCACAAAAACCAGAGAGGATACTGTGATATTTACACACTTGGAAAATTGTGGCCTAGATGTGCATTTTGCCTGGAGAAAGTAGTTTCTCTTGAGTACGAAGTACATCACAAACATTGCCACGTTCATTGCTCAACAACATTGCTCAATGACATCAGTATTTCCACACTGTATATTTTAATTTGAGATTAAGAGGTAATGAGTTGGGCCAGTTCACGGTCTCCTAAACCAAAGTCCAGTGGGCCAGAATTGGCATTCATTGATGATGCATCTTAATTGATGATTTCCCTACAAATCCCTGCATTATTTGAAGCACCTGCAGCCTGCCTTCAGATATGGAACAGGTTCTCTGGATCACTGTCAGAGGCTGTGTTACTGTTTTTGATGATCTATGATTGGCTATAAGCAGGAGTGGGCAACCTTTTTGGTTCATGGGCAAAATTTGACAGGTGAGTGGGGGCTGTCTACCTGTCAGTCACCTGACTTCAGAAATGATTTGGGAGGCTGCTTTGAAGTCCCAAAGTTGGGATTTCAAAGCACATAGCAGGCAACAAGAAAGTCAACCGATGAAATGAAGTGTTGTTGTCATTTAAATTAGCACCTTGCTGCTTGCTATGTGCTTTGGAAGTGCAGTCAAACTGAGCAGGATTGCCCTCCTTTTGCTGATGTGAGGTGAGAGAAATCTTGCTTAGTGCTGGGTTTGAGTATGTGAGCGGTTTTCTTGCAGGTGCCTTTTGCATGCACCTGGACCAAGCTGCGTCCCCCTTCTTGGGGAATGGGCAATCCTGCTTAGCACTGGATTTCTGTTTTATCAATGCTTCAAACAGCTGGTTTTCAGGCACTTTGGAAGCCACGCGAGGGGGCTTTAGCGAAGCCCTGTCCTTTTGACCTAGCACCGCCCTTATTCATCTGGAGTAGAGTGGACAGGTGTCATTTGCCCAAACCGTCCTCATATGCCAAATGAGAAAGCCTAGGAGGCCAAGACTGACCCATGGACTGGAGCTTCCCCACCCCTGTTTCTTGAAAATAAAATAAAAAAGGTTTCCCGAAAAACGCGATGAGGCCATTTCCAAAAGTTAACAAATGCCTGAATGAAAACTTAGATTATACTTCTCAGTGCTTTTTCCCTTTGAAATAAGACTGTTAAAGCTTGTTTAGAACACGTCAAACATTTAACCTTCCTTTGTGCATCTGTGCTAAAGTTAAACTGAAACCCTTTTAAATGAACCGGTCGAAAGAATCCTCCATTGTGTTTTGACTATAAAATTATAAATTTAGAGGCCTTGAGGAATGTTAAGTCTGCTTAAGTTCTGATGATTTGTGTTATTTTTTGTTTAAGTTGGATTAATACCATGTTAATTTCACATTGGTTCTGGTGAATAGCTATGGGGTTGTAATTTGTGCCAGAAACTTGTCACACCAGAGCTCTCTGGAGAACTATACACAACATTTATGTTGTGAGAATTAGACGCAAAAAGCCGTATCTTGGATTGTTAATAAATGTTAATGACAAAACCCAGCTGGCAAGCCTTTGGAAAGGCGATCAAATGCTTTGTGGCCATTGCCAGAGAAGTGTTTAAACAGATTTCCATTAATCAAAAATAGAAAGTATAGTCAAGCTGTGAATTATAGAATCATGTAAAGCATTCAAGTATTTAGCATAATGCCCCTTTATTCCATGCAATCTTAGTTTAAATATTAGCCCTCTCTGTTCCTTTTACTCAGAGCAGGTAACAGTCCTCTTTCAATGCAAAAACTAAAATATAAAATATAGAAATGCACAACTATTAGCAATTAGCTATTAAAACACAATATAGTAACAGTGTGTTATTTCTGGAATCACCTAGTGATTAATAAAAATGGTGGTCAACTAAATATGCGATGGAGAAAGGCTTTTCTTTTCTTTTTTTGAGGTGATGGGAAAGACTCGTACACTGTGCTACATAAGAGCTGTACGAATGAAGATGATGAGGATCTCAAAATATCTGGGGGCAAAAATATTGCCCCAATATTTTTTGTGCTAACACAAGGGGATTTTCCTATGCTCCTAATCTCGCTGTTCCCAGATCTTCTCCAGAGTGTTAGAAGAACCCACAGAACAGGTTTAGGGGAATACAGGGGAGGACAGGGAGAGGATGTTGCAATGCACAAGGATAAATCCTTGTGCTAACAGAACACTCACCTTGGTGCTACGTTGAATATAACCCATGCTTCCCATGGTCCTAGGTTTGGAGGAAAGAAAGCACAGCCAGTAAGAGAACTGTTACACATGGAGAGAGGAGTCTCATGGCAAGAAGATCTGTTTGTTCTTGCCATTCTCTTCCCTCTGATCAGAGACATGGCGCTTTCTTAGCATGTCCTCCCTTAATACTTAATCCCTGACAGTTGCATAGAAGTAATGCAGCTGCTGTATTCTGCATTAAACACAGAGCTGGGGAATGGATGGAAGCTGGCCATAGGGCACTGGAATGCAGGATATTCTGACCCACATGTGAAAGTTACCTACGACAGGGATAAAATAGGAAGGCAGGCTAGTGGTTGCATCCCTTCTTCCAGTCCCCCGTGGCCCAACTTCTAATACCTTAGCCAAAAAGACTGTGGCTCTTAAAGGGCCAGCTCCTTGGGCTGCAGACAAGCATTCTGCCTTTTCTTGACCTCTTGCCTGGCTCATTCCCTGTGCCATTGGGCAAGTGTAAAGGTAAAGGGACCCCTGACCATTAGGTCCAGTTGTGGCCGACTCTGGGGTTGCGGCGCTCATCTCGCTTTATTGGCCGAGGGAGCCGGCGTACAGCTTCCGGGTCATGTGGCCAGCATGACTAAGCCGCTTCTGGCGAACCAGAGCAGCGCACAGAAACGCCGTTTACCTTCCCGCCAGAGTGGTACCTATTTATCTACTTGCACTTGACGTGCTTTCAAACTGCTAGGTTGGCAGGAGCAGGGACTGAGCAACAGGAGCTCACCCCGTCGCAGGGATTCGAACCACCGACCTTCTGATCGGCAAGTCCTAGGCTCTGTGGTTTAACCCACAGTGCCACCCGCGTCCCTATGTGAGGTGGACATACTTGCAAAAACTTAAGCCAAATAATCACTTTGTTAGTTGCTAAGGTGCCACAAGACTCATTGCTTTCTTTGCTGCAACAGACTAATGAAACTGTAATGTACATCCTTAGATGAGCACCAAAGTCCACTGCTATTTTGTGCCCTAGGCAAACTCTTGAATCCTATCCCCTTCTTCACTCTGCACATTCTCAGAGGAAGTGTGTTTTCTGTTTGCCCCGCTTCCTCCAGGAGCTGAGGGCTACCTCAAATTAAGTGAGGGTGGGGGACATCCAGGCAGGAGACCCCCCCACCATGGCACCTCTAAGACATGTCCTCTGAAAGACCCCCGCCTTGTTTTCCTGCAACCTTCAAGCACCCTAAAATTTTTGCCTCCATAGGCAGCTGTGTAGTTCGCCTAGTGATAAGACTGGCTTTGCCAAAGTCTGCCTAAAGTCAAAACTTTATGAGGGAATTTCAGAAGTCGAACGAGAGCAAATACATATTTTGATATACCGATTTATATTTTAGCTTGAATTTTTGACAGTAAGATTACCAATGCTTGTAAATCTGAGAAGTCCAAAATTCGAGAACTGTAGCAATGTTGCAATGCAGTTGTAACTAGAAAGAATGTTGCAATTCAGCTTTTGGTGATTACAAAGGGATCTGTCTGGATTTCGAATGTTTCTGTAAAAACTCAAAAGTATGTGCATTTGAGATAAGTGGTTATTAGAGAGTTTAAGTCTTACCATTTTTGTACTCTGTGTGGATTTGTTCGCAGCAAAACTAGTGCATTTGTTTTAAACAAACACAGACTTTATTGGCTGACACTGGCTCTATCTTGTCCAGCCTCCTGCTTATCCTCTCAAGGTAATTAATGTGATTAATTTACAAGTAATTTAGCCAAGGAGAGGATGTAAATCTTTGCTTTAAAAAACAGTTAGAAGTCCGAGCCTCGGTTAAAAACTGTGTCTTGAAACCATCCAGACCCTCCTACTGAGTTGTCAGCTCTGGGTTATTTTCAGAAAACTGGAGTTGAGTTCCTTCGCTTCAGTCGTACGTTTTTTCCCACAGACTTGCTTGGTATGTACAAGTGGGAGAGTGAATTGTAGCCGCTATTTAGCCATTGTTTAGTCTAGTGTGTGTATGTCTACATCTTCCCTCTGGATTTATAAGCTGCTATGACAAAATAAAGATTGTTCTCCTTTGATTGAAGAGCCTCTTAGCTATAGCACCTGGCAGAATGCAAGGGTTATTTTGTAGATTGATTAAAAAAAAATTAGTGATTTACTAATTTTTTATTATTGGTGATTTACTAATTTTTTTTTACATTTGTTGCTGTTGTAGAACTTGGAGGCCAAGAGTTTAGACAGCATTGATTTGTTTATTGGGAGTAGCATAGAATCATGGATTTGTAGAGTTAGAAGGGAACCCTGTCTGGTCCAATGCCATGCCCTGAAGAAATCACAGTTAAAAAAAAAAACACCTGATAGATGGCCATTCAAACTCAGCTTAAAAACATCCAATGAAGGAGACTCCATCAGCTTCGAAGGTAGTCCATTCCACTGTTGAACAGCTCTCACCATGTTCATAGGGAGTCTCCTTGTAATTTGACATTAAGGATTACAAAGTTCCCTTTCTATGTTAAGTATTTTTTGTCAGTGGCTGCTATTGGGAAATAATTCCTTGCTCTCTGAGATTTTCTTCTGCGCTGGACATGAGAGAGTTGTGATCAACAACTCCAGTATCTTGGTTGTGCCTTCCTCCTGGGAAATGCAGACACAGAACTCAACTTCTTCGCATGCCAACAGTTCTTCCCACTCTTCAGAACTGCTATAAAATGACGAGAGTAGTTTTTAGCTTTTGCATCTGAAAATAGGAGAAAAGATCATAAATTTCAGCTCTTCATGAGGTGGATATTAGTGGATATTAGTAAGGAAAATGATTCTCAATGAAGGATTTTATGTGCCTCTCCAAAGAATCTAGATAAGTATACTTAGACTATATGGGTGTTTGGTTTGTGAACAGCAATCTACCCTTGCTATTCAGTTATAACAGACTCCAGAGAACCTAGAGCAGTAGATAAATATTTCCTATCAATATGTGGTTAACATAATCAAGGTAATTACTTACTAATGGGATCATTGAAATTGCTCTCAAGGGGTCATTAGACACACACACTCTCTGTGCTGGGACTGTATGGAAGTAAACTATTACAACCCATTTTTTATATTTCTGTAGCTCTAAATATAGTATGAGGTTGCTGAAGGATGACTTGATTATTGTAGTTGTCTAGACTTGTGAAATCCAAGCTGCTTGAAGCTTAAGTGATCTGAGGATTAATTCAATAATACATTGCAGGTGATGTCAGGATGCCCCTGTTTACTGCTTTGCTAGTACCCTAAAAACAGTGGTTCCTTACAGACATTCATGCTAGCTAGCTAGACATACAGTTTGCTGTGTTGTATATTGGTTTTATGGTTCTCTTTTGTAGGCTACCTTGAAAACCTAGAATAATAAAATTAGGGTTTTTTCTTTTTCTTTTAAATTTTTCTTTTAAAAAAGACAGGAAATTCACAACATAAAAGGACATCTAATAGTTTATACTGAAAGGCCTGGGGAAAGTGCTCCACAACCAGGGTGCCACAACAGAGGAGGCTCTTCCCCTGAAATCCACTGTCTGCATCGCAGAAGATTCAGGGATTTGGTGAAGGGCCTCTGTGAATTATCCTATAATTTGGACGTGTAGAAGAAGTCAGTCCTTAGGGTACTTAGATCCCAAACAGTTTTATTTAATGTTATTTATTCAAATTATACAAATGTTTATATACCGCTGTATCATAAAGATACATCGCAGCGGTTTACGACAATATAAAGCATGAAACCGAGCAATGAAATCATTAAAAAAGATCAAAGATACTTGAGGGAAAGGAGAACTGTACAACTGAAGCAGACAAGAATGTTTAAAGATTAATTTCAGATGGCATGCTTTTCAGTAATCTTACATAACCATTACAGCAAAACACTGGTGCTACATTCCATGGAAGTCCATTGTATGAGGCTGAGGTATCTGAAAGAAGTTTGAATGAAGCAGCTCCCATTTCAATACCAAACATGGATAAAGAATCTTTTCTACCCCAAATTCGACTGGCAAACACTTCATTTTTTTTACAAGCCTCTGAGCTAATCATCATAAATCATGTGTTTCAAATCATCATAAATCTTGTGCGTTAGACATAGGACTGTAGTATGAGAATCATTCTCAAAGTATGAAGCATGTAAAATATTTAAAACAAAAAATTACTTGGTGCTCTCACAAGAATGTTTATATGTACCTTGTGTCGTGGCTTGGACACCTGTCATGATTTCTACAGATATCTTTCATTGGGTTCTGTGAAAATTACCTTAGGCTTTATACAGCATAGTAAATGCTTTGCTTTTCTCATTAATGTCTGAAATGTGCATAGAAACTGGTACAGAAAACAAGTTGTCTTGGTTGTGGAGAATTAAGATTTTTAACCACCTTTTAGTGTCAAATAAATGTGGTTTCTAACATAACTAATTCCCAATATAAAACCAATACAAGTTTAAAGTTATTAAACATCATAAAATGCAGGTCACTAACTCAAGCAATAATACCATGTTTAGCCCTGTAACAATAGTAAAATTGGAATTTTAAGGTGGAGTAGTCTCATATATTCAGCTACCCAATATGATCCTCATTCAAGCTGGATTTTGGTAACCTTCCAGCGGTTTGACTTCACCCGCAAAGGCTCACTCCTCCATTGTCTCCCGACAACAAGGTATCTTTAAAGAAAACATAGGAACTGGAGTCTAGTGATCCATGTTTTTCTCAAAAAAGACACCTTCTCTAATTGATTTACAAAAAACTAGCCTATATCAAGCTACTTCCTACATTTAATTGAAGCATCTCCTTTAGGTTTGCCATCTTTCCCTCAACTCGGCACCATAATAGCACATAGGACCCTTCAACTACTCATCAAAGCTTGAGTCAGTAATCTTATCAAATTGGCTTTTGATAGGACAAAATAATAGATTTACAGAGTGGTTCTACTTTGGTGAGAAGGCGAGAATCTGTGACAAAGTAAATGCCATATCTAAGCCTTGCTGGACTTGAGTTGGCTAGGACAGAAGGTGAAAGGGGGCTTCTCCCTCAATAATACCAGTGCTCTTGTTTCATTGGGTTTTTCCCCCAGTCTTCCTCCCATTAGTTCCTCTAGGGCTGGCATATTCCCCCCTCCTCCTTATGCACCCTTGTGCCATCAGATCACTGATTGGAGAGGCTGAGTAGCCATGTTGTTTTCTGTGACCTCAACATGAGACATCCAAATGTCTCTCTCTTTGCATATGGATGGGGAGATGCATGCACTAACTATATGATTTTTTCCTTTCTCATTTAGGACTTACGTTGGTAGGGGACAGAATATAAGTCAAAGCTTTCTTCTAACTTAATGGTGTTTGATATACACACTTAGTACAAATGAAACTGTGTTGAGTGTGCTCCTTCTATGGAGAGGCAGTGATGGGGTCTTAAGAAGAGGGCTGTAAAGGAGTATAGCATAGTCCACTGGATATCCCCTACCCCCGCTATTAATGTGTGTTACCGTAATCTTAAATTTCTCTCCAACTATCAGACTGTGTCATTGTTGGAAAGTCCAGAAGGCACTTGTAATCACTTTCCAATTTTGATAGCAACGAGAGACCATTTGAAAATATGACATAAGCCTCTGTGTATAGTCAAGATGATCCAGCTTGCTTTCAATATTTTCTGTCTCCTCTTTTAAAACAAAGCACTGACTATTATCTTATGTATATCTGTCCTAGTTTAACGTGCTTGTTTTAAAGTTTCATTACTGTATATTTGTGGGCCATCAGCAGAGCTGCATCATGCACAGCTAATCAATGTGGAGGTTCGCATATTATTGCTTAAATTTGGTATTTATTTTATTCCTCACCGTTGTCAGTCTTAGCGGATACAACTTAGTTGACCCTTCAGTAAAACTGCTCCGGTGCTTCAGTCATTCGTAATGACCTACTGCCTTTTCCTACTTTATTGAGCAAGATTTGCTGATGCTTCCTTGATGCATATTATTTCTATGCTGCTTCCAAACTGGAAGCGTCATATATCGAGTTGCAGTGCATTTACTCAATTTGATCTTTGTCTAATGCCTGTAAACTATAGGAAAGTTACCCCGCAGCAATATTTTCCCTGTGTTTGAGAGAAAGACAAAGAGATCTCAGTCCACACACAAACTAGGTAAACTGTGAAAAAATAAAATAAATGTGTACATCTGTGGGAGATTAAATGTAGATGGCTTGGCTTTTCCTTAGCGTGAGCAAGAGAGTGCCATGGCCCGCCTTAAAAAACAGCAGCAGGAGCTTGAGCACATGAGACTTCGGTATCTGGCAGCAGAAAACAACGAATTGGGGAAGGCGCAACGGCAAGAGCTAGAGGATATCAGAAATGAACTGAACAGGTATTGTACCATTTGTTGGATTTTTACTTCTGCTGCTGAATAGGTGAAGGTTCAGCTAAGTCAAATTTAATTGGCTGTCAGTCCAGTAAAGGAACACAGCTTTCTGTCCCTTAGGTAATATTTGCCCATTTATAAAATATAACAGTCTTGTATTATAGGAAATCTATGCCAAAGGCCACCAGACCCAGTTTTTTATCTTGACTGTAGCTATTACAGCAAGCTTTTCTTTTTTACCTCTTGTTCTAAGCAAACCTGTTTGCTGCATAAAAAGATACATTAATGGTGCCTGCTGTCAGCTCCCTAGCGAGCATAACACTTTATATTTTAAATGGCTCGGTACTTCCTGTACCTTTTGACCTTGTGTCTTCTACGTGTTTTCAAACAGTTTAATTCTTGTTAAAAATCACTCAAAAACATAGGCACTGGGTCAAAAAACATTCTTGTCTTCCAGCAGTAGGCTTATGCAACAAATTAAGCACAATGGCTCTTCCAGTTGGATAATCGGATTTGTTTCTTTTCTGTTCAGTTTGCTTTTAATTTCCATTAATTTTAGTGGGCCATTTGGTTCTCCAATACAGATGATCAGGATGCAAAACGCATCTGCTGAATTTGCTTTGATTTTCCTCCTTAGATTAAAACAGGAAGAAGAAGACAAAAAGCAGTCGCCAGATCCCCAAGAGGTTTTGGGGTTGCAGATGCAAAATTCTCACACGCGGCAAGTAGATGAGAGTTTAGATGACTACCTTGCACGCCTGATAGAGGAGAGGGATACCTTGCTGAGGACAGGAGTGTATAGCCACGAAGACCACATTGTGAATGAGCTCGATCGCCAGATCAGCGAGGTGCTCACCAAAAGAAGCAGAAGCAAGTACCCAAACTTGCAGAACTGATTTTTGTTTTTCAGTAAAGTAAAGCATGGCTCGGGTCTCTGCAGAGACCCTGATCCCGAAGGACTTGTGTGTATGCTCTGCTTTGTCTTCCAAGACTTAACTGCGACCCTATTCTACTATCTGAGGTCTTTGAGAGAAGAGTATCAGTTGAATTTTTGACCATTTACATGTGTTTGTATATATTTAAATATTTCAATTTTTTATAGGCGATTGAACATTCAACATCTCTTCCCCCCCAGTTGTCTAACTTGTTTTATTTATAGAATCATTTTTAACTCCAGTTCTACATTTCTGTATAGCATTTTTGATTATGCATTTGATAGGTATCTTGCCTGCTTGCTTTTTAATAAAATTATATCAAAGCACAATTTCAATAAAATTGCACAAGGAAAAGGGGCCTGCAATTATCATTTTTAAAATCTAACTTTCATTGTGCTGTGTCACCTTGGAGACTATGTTCAACAAAGTATAGATTATTTTAAATAAACCACTAAAATTGCCGTTCAGTTGGCCAAATATTTAACCATGTTATGTATGATGAAACTTTCTGAGTACATATTTTCAGTTGAATGATGCTTATTAATGACACAGGAGTGCGATCCATCGTGCACTGATGCGCCTCTCACCAGCTTACTTTGTACAGCTCCGCAGACATGTTTAGTAGATCTGTGCCCAAGATCTTAAGCATGTGTGTTTCTTCCAATGCACATCTGTCAAAGCAAACTCTACTGTTAAATAAGGCACCTAATTTTAGCACAAAAAACTGGGAAAACTTATTGACTCGAGTATAAGCCGGTTCACCACACAACAAACCTAGTGGTGGTGGCAGCGGCAAAGGAAGCTGCTTTCGGGCTGCTCATTCCTCCACCGGCGCTGCCTGCCTCACTCGAGTAAAAGCCGAGGGGGGCTTTTTCAGCATAAAAAATGTGCTGAAAAAGTCGGCTTATACTCGAGTATATACATAAACATTTATATTTCTTCAAGAAGTAGATAGCTTTCTGTCAGCTCTAAATCTGAAATCAAGTGATACATCAAAATAGAGCAATTATTAAGTGTTAATAATTTGTTAATAATTTTTTTTTATGTTGCGATGACAGTAAATCGAGTTACACTAAAAAAAAAAAGTATATTCTGTGAAACATACTTAATTGCTCCAATTCAGCATATGAGAAATGACTCATGGAAAGCGGCTTAGACATTGATTCAAGATTAGTGCATGTATTAAGCTGTTCAGATTTCACTTGTTGAAATGCCCATATCTGACAACAAACAAACAAACAAAAACCAGCAACACAGTTCTTCTATTGGGAAAATTCTCTCCACTTCTCAGTTGTTTGTATCTGTATTAGAGACTATATATTGACCTTATCTCTAATGCAGGATTTTATAAGGTTTGTAGCTGTGCAACAAGTGCAAAGTAATTAATGTGAAGCAAATTTCCTTACTAACTTAATCTTTCAAAGGACCAAGATGGGTGGGAGGTTTGTTGATTTGAATATATTATTAGTATTAGTATTAATAATAATAATGATTTATTTATACCCCACCCATCTGGCTGGGTTTCTCCAGCCACTCTGGGCGGCTTCCAACAAAAGATTAAAAATACATTAGAACATCAGTACAGTGGAATGTGGCAATACATTAAATAAAGTAATGTGGAAATACATTAAAACATCAGTACAGTGGTACCTCAGGTTAAGAACTTAATTTGTTCTGGAGGTCCATTCTTAACCTGAAACTGTTCTTAACCTGAGGTACCACTTTAGCTAATAGGGCCTCCCGCTGCTGCGCGATTTCTGAGGTAAACTTCTTAACCCAAGGTACTATTTCCGAGTTAGCAGCGTCTGTAACCTGAAGCTTCTGTAACCCGAGGTACCACTGTAATGAAAAACTTCCCTAAACATTATTCAATATTAACTGTATGTTTATTAAAATGCATACTAGGAACCACTGCTGTTTGTGGCAGGAAAGCAAACAGGAGAGACTTCAATCCCCTCACTATTTACAGCTACCGCCTCCCTCCTGCCAGCTTCGTATCTGCTGAGGCTCTCACCATTAGGCAAGCCAGCCCCAGCTGCTGAGAGCCACAATGTGCCCTTTACACCTGCAGCCAAGCTACATCTTCTGGCTGCAGCAACACCCATAAAGCAGAGGCAATTTTGGAAGATGCACAGGTGAAGATATTTAGAGGTCGGAGAATGGACACAGCTGTGGATTCTGAGTTGTAGTTCAGGAGTATTGCATTTTATCTTAAAGAGAAGTTGGTCCAAACTGATTCCCCCCCCCCCCCCAAAAAAAAGTAACACAGATTTTTGTTACAGCAAGTCATATGTATGCCTTTTTAAAAATTAAACAATGACGTTCTAGCACTGGGAATAATTAATGTCTGCTAAAGCAAAAAAATAATTTGCAAATATTAATTATGGCTGCTTTAGTGCTTCACTAACACGTGACCAGAGGAAATGCCCGATAAATCTGGAATATTCTTTTACAAGAGTGTTAAATTCTGCCAAGCCAAAATAGCTGGTCATAAACTCGGTTTGCTGTTGCCTTTCAAACACTAGAGGGGGCCTTAACATTAAATAACAGTGGTTTTTTAAAAACCCGAAGGTGTTTTAATTAAATTCCTATTCAAAGGTAAAATATGTAGTGGTTTTTTTTAAAAAAAAAAAAATATTATCCCGTTTGCTTTGCTTACAAAAGTCAGTTATGACCAACGTCTCTTCTGTGCTTTTAAGACAAAATGCAATGCTGCTAAACTGCAAATAATCATCCACAGCTGTGCCCATTCTCCTACTTCTAAATATATCCACCTGTGTATCTTCCAAACACATCCAGCACCCAGTTCCAAACTTTGACCTGTCTTACTTGAATCTCCTACAGAGAAGGAACGGAAGCTGGGACCAGCCTATCTTCTCTGCCTCCTCCCTGCAACAGGTGAGGCATAAAGAAAATCTTTAATAAAAAGTATTTAAATAATAATTTAAAAAACTGATCCTCTTAGGGGATGTGAACTGGTCTTATCCAGGGGAGGGGGAATCACTATGTATTTTGGGTGAAAATGTTTGGCAATTGCTGGCATGCTTTTGCTAATGTTGGAGAGTTTTGACACAGCACAGTAGCAGTAGTGACTTCTAGCATTCGTAATTATGGTTGTTTTCTTCCTTTGTGTTTGTGTTATCCCAAAAGGAGATATTATTGTTATGACTTCTACATTGTTAAAAATATGTTGGCTATACCTGTTACATTCTGGGCAACCGAACAGCATTGAAATGGAGGAAACGATTTTGTCATGAGACACAAACACACAAATACACACATATGCACATTTCGATTTTTATCTCCATTGCAAGCAACCAAACTCATACATGCATGAAGATGTGAAGCAGGCCAAGAAAAATCCTTGTTGTATAAACAGGAGCAACAAAATCTATCTATTTTAGCAAATAAATTGTATTTCAAGACATTGGAACTGGGAGTAGTTGCAGAAAAAAATGTTGCTCTGCTAAACAAGACTATCTTACAGCATGTATATTTGTGATGGCTCTGGGGAGAGATCTGAGTAGTTTCTGCCTTGGGTTTAATTTTTATTTGTTTTAGTAACATCTGTACTGTACTTCTTCTTAAAACAATTTCTACCATTATCCTGGGGTTTATTTTATGCTTATTATTTTGCTAGGAAAGGAAAAAACTATGGGTTGGGAATGCTGAGATGAAGGGGTAGTTTCAGAGGAAAACGAGAAGGATAATTTGGGTGGATGTGAAATTTGTGAGATCCCTTAAGAGAGAGGCAGGCTGTTTTACATTAATGTTTCCTTTCCTTTGTTTCTCATTTTCCATTGTTTGATTGCGAACCTTTAGGTCAGCTTCTCTTAGTACGTTGCTCCCGATCCTGCTGCCAGAATTGCCGGTAGGGAGAAATTGCGGTCAGACTAGGGCCTCACATTGGCTCATGCTTTCGGTCTTCCATTTTTCTCCTGCCCAAGTCCTACTGACTTCATCACATGAGAGAGTTGAGTGGCCATCACAGGAGCTCTGGGACTTTTGCTCTGAATATCTGATACACAGTTTAGGCATTCATCTCTCCCTAAGGCCAGGAAAGCAGAGAAAGATTGGTAGAGAGATGTAGAAAGATGGGGAGATTTAAAAAAAACCCCTGCTTTTGGTAGTGTGGGAACCAAGAACGAACAAATGAGAGTTTTAATAGTACTGCAATAGTTTCCATGTCTAAAAGTCGGTGGCAATAAGGTTTGTTTCCAGACCTGTGGTTGGTTAGAGAGATTTCCCTTTCAGACAATCACGGCACCAAAGAAACCATTGGTACCACCTGAAATTATGTACCAAAACTTAATTAAATCGTGATTGTCTTTCATGAAAACTGGTTGTTGGTATAATAGTATCTTACAATGTTCTACAAGTAGATAAATAGGGACCGCTTACCAGCGGGAAGGTAAACGGCGTTCCGTGTGCTGCGCTGACTCGCCAGATGCAGCTTGTCACGCTGGCCACGTGACCCGGAAGTGTCTTCGGACAGCGCTGGCTCCCGGCCTATAGAGTGAGATGAGCGCACAACCTTAGAGTCTGGCAAGACTGGCCCGTACGGGCAGGGGTACCTTTACCTTTACCTTTACAATGTTCTAAGCAATGTTGGCATTGTATTTAGGTGTGCTGTTTTCAGAATACTTGCTTCAACATTATTCTCACTCTGCTGGCATCAAAGAACCATAAGCTGTTGTATGATGAACAAGGATCAGATCCTCATCTAATGAGGTTAAACTTACTGTGACCTGTTTGTATGCATGATCACACTGTCCTTTATTTTATTTAGCTACCACTATTCCTCTGTGATCATGACCTGTCTCTGCTCTTGAATGAGAAGTCCCCAAACTTGCTATTGTTAAAGAGAGAATACTGGAGAATGACGGCAGCCATAAACTTAGATCTCATTTCATTTGCTTCTCTGGCGGGTTGTATTAGTGTTTTCATTAGAAATGTTTTTACAGATGTTGGCTCTCCAGATACGAACTCTCTGTGGTGGAGAGGCGGTCAGGAGTTTGGCATCCAGAACAAAAAAAGAAATCTGCTCTGAAAGCCTAATGTATAGAAAAATAATTTACTGTCTTTATGATGTATAAATGTATAGTAACTCTACAGAGGCTTTAAGATAGAGTAATTGAATTCCAGCTAATAATATAGTGATGTTTGCTATTCGTCTTTTTGGAAGAAATATGTCATTCATCATGATAAAGGACTAAAAAAGCACCCATAAATAACACGTTTAGAAAAGTTGTACCCACTAATTTATATATAAATATTTTTTTTTTCATTTGAAATACCTATATTAATGTGTCCATATTTCTAATAGTACGCAATGTTTTGAACCCATGCCCCACCAAGGTGATGACGTACAAGTGTTTAAAGCATTTGAGCCCAGCAGTACTTTTATTTTAAATATATATAGGGATTGCTTTGACTCTGGTGGTTTGTTTTTTTTAAAAAAAATGATCTTAATGAATAATCAAA